CTGGAAATATTTGCACATAATTTTTATTTTCTCATATTTCTATTACAGTACAGTGAGTCCGCCGTATACGCGGGGGTTTGGGACCAGAAAATATTCTTTCATACGTACAATAACCGTTTTTAATTACGCATAGATCTATACAACCATTGAAAATACTGTATAAAATATGTGTAACAAGAAATAAAATATAAATTTTAAAACATTATCTAAAAACAGAACTGTGATGATGCTCGCAGACTTAATATAAGCCACTCTTAAGACCCCAGCCCCTAACAAAGAACAAAGCCCAAGCACTACCCATGTTTTTGCGTTTGCTTTTACAATGAAGATGTACAATTCTGCCAATTTTTACCATAAAAATGGACTGTTATATGTTTTAAGTCACTTAAATAACAGGAAAATAATACAAGAATATTTTAAATATGTTCTATTGAAAAAATACGCGAATCGAGGGGGTTCTCAGCGAATAGTTTGTACATATGTTCTTTAGAAAAACACGCGAATATTCGGGGTTTCCGTGAATAACAAGTACATATGTTCTAAAGAAAAATCCGCGAATGTGTAAATCCGCGAATGTGTGAAGCCGCGAATGCTGAAACGCGGATAGGCGGGTGCTCACTGTAATAAATACAGCAGAACTGGAGCACAGATGATAGAAGATAGGATCTTTCTGTCCAAAGTACAGCTCTTTAAACATTTTAAGTCAGGCTGGTCCCTGGTATCCGAGTATGTCTGTCTGCTAAGGTTACTAGCCAATCCCTGTTGCAGGCGCCTGCTCAGGCACATTTGTGTTTATTCAAGACCTACAGCTGAATGGACCTTACAATTCCTGGAAGAGAGCACATTATCTGGTGTGGTCTACAGTCTGAACAAGGCCAGTTCCGTCAACCCAATTTCACTTAAAAGTCTTGGGTCTAACCGGGGTACGGTTCTCAGGCACTTTCCAAAGGGTACCGCACTTTGATAACATCAAGAAGTCGCCTTCCTGACAAATCGACCATTAAACATTAATCTACCAAAATCAAAACGAAATAAAAACTTGTATATCCCTTACGGATGATCTTCGCCTCTCGGTGGCCCCTGGCATTAATAGCATAGCGTCCACCCAGAGGACATGAAACTAATCGATATAATGTCAAACCCGACCTTATCACATGTCCGTCGTGAATGGTGGATTAAATTCAAAACCTCGGCGGAGAATTATTTGCGTGCGACTAACAAGAAATAGATACGTGCTTCGTTAACAATCTCTTGACAGTAGAGGTTCGAACAACATTGGCCTTTCCAGAAATTGTGTGTTTCACACGCATAACCCTTCTAGGATGTCACTAACTAATTATTGTAAATGTATTTCCATGATAGATATAATAGACATATTCATTCTTCCATTGATTTCTAACCCGTAACAATGAATCACAGTGCATATACATTATACATATAATAGCCCTATTTTGGCAATAACAGCTTACTTTAATTCCTGACCACTGACAATCCCTTTCTTCCTAATTTTTATGAATTCCTATAGTAAAATCATTAGCAATGCATTTACATTATACATATAATAGCCCTATTCAATCAATAAGGTTTGCCTTTATTCTTGACCACTGACAATCCCTTTTTTCCAGATTTTCCATGCATTTTATAATAAACCCATTAGCAATGCATTTACAGTATATATATGATAGCCCTACTCAATCAATAATGCTTACTTTCATTCCTGAACACTAACAATCCCTTTCTTCCTGGTTTTCAATGCATTCCTATAGTAAAACTGTTAGCAATGCATTTACATTATACATATCATAGCCCTATTCTATCAGTAATACTTGCCTTCATTCCTGACCACTGACAATCCCTTTCTTCCTGGTTTTCAACGCATTCCTATAATAAAATCATTAGCAATGCATTTACATTAGACATATCAGGTCATCCCATAAATTCTGTCCGAATTTTGAATAAAGAAAACAAGTGACCAAATGTTACACTTAATTACAGATTCAATCAACAATGTATTTTCCCTGATTATCTATGACTTCCTTCCACCTATTAACAAGCTTACTAATTCCATTACTGTAAAATTCTTTTCGCTTTGATTCGAAGAACTCACAATTGTCAGTTTTAACCTCTTCCTGTGTTACAAAAGCTGTTTCTTCCAAATGATTCTGTGAGCTACGAAACAAATGGTAGTCTGAAGGAGCAAGATCGGGAGAATAAGGTGGATGAGGAATTTTCTCCCAACCAAGTTCTTCGATCTTTTGTGACGTGATTCTTGCTGTGTGGGGTCGCGCATTGTCCTGATGAAACATCACCTCTTTTCGATTCACTAGAGCAGGTCTTTTTTTCCTCAAAGCTTGGTTCAAACGCTCTAATTGCTGACAGTATATTTGAGTATTAATTGTTGCATTAGGTGGTAAGAATTCAAAGTGGATTATTCCTTGGCGATCCCACCAGATTGAAAGAAGAACCTTTTGTCCATGAAGTTCCCTTCTAGGCTGTGGATGGGGTCCTTCCCCTTTACCAAGCCACTGTCTACGACGCTTAACATTTCGATAAAAGATCCGTTTTTCGTCGCCAGTCACAAATCTATCCAAAAAAGGTGAAACAAGTTGGCGAGAATGGAGAGAAGAGCAGATGTCAACTCGGGATTTGAGGTTGTTTTTAGACAATTCATGAGGCTTCCATTTTCCAAGTTTAGGAACTTTTCCAAGATGACGATGAACAGTTGTATGGTTTGATCTGAGAACCACTGCCAATTCCTCAACTGATAAAGCAGGATTTTCTTCAAGGGCCGCTTCAAGAATCTTTTCATCAAACTAAACTGGACGCCCGGTTCGATCTTCATCTTCAAGGGTGAAATCTCCACCTCTGAATTTTGCAAACCATCTTCTGCAAGTTCTTTCATTCACACATTCCTCTCCATAAACTGAGTGAATGTTTCTAGCTGCTTCGGCTGCTGAGTTTCCTTTCTTGAACTCATAAAGCATTATGTGACTCAAATGATTCTTGGGTACTTCCATGTTAGCAGGGTTTTAATCAAATAAAATTTAATTTTATTGTTCTCTGAAATAAAATTTGATCAGTTTAAATGCATCTAAACATAAAAATAATGTTCAGCTGCATTAGACATTATAAAATACTCTTTAAATTTCGTTCATTTTAACAAAAAGTTAAAATTCGGACAGAACTTATGGGATGACCTGATATAATAGCCTTATTCTATCAGTAATGCTTGCATTCATTCCTGGCCACTGACCATCTATTTCTTCCTAATTTTTATGAATTCCTATAGTAAAATCATTAGCAATGCATTTAGATTATACATATAGTAGCCCTATTCTATCAATAATGCTTGCATTCATTCCTGACTACTGGCAATCCCTGTTTTCCAATGCATTACTATACTAAACATATATGACAGAGTAGGAACAGGCATATTCTGAGAACTGCGCAAATCACATGGATCCGATCATGTAAAAACATTGTGAAAATACTGTCATTGTAGGTATAAAATGAATTCATTGTTCATGATTTTTCTATAGAAATTCATTCAAAATCAACAAGAAAGGGATTGTCAATGGTCAGTAATTAATGTTAATGTTAATCCTCTTTAAATTCCATCGCCCGCTCGCCGCCACTCCCGTGCGCTACAACGACTAAAATTGGTTTATTTTGTTTTACGGCATATCGACCTCAATGGGTTATTTAATACCTACAAGATTTTTAGGATAGTTTCGTGTGAATAGAATATGTATTCTTTGTAGGAAATCAGTTTGTAGGAGATCAGGTTTCGTTGGCGTATTTTTGTAAAGAGGGATTTTGTCGAGAGTCCAATGTATTGCTGATAATATTTAAAAAAAATTTTTTCAAAAATGTATTGCTGGTATTTTTAGTGTAAAAATCTATTTTCATACTTTCATAGTGTTTTGACCCCAGTTTTGGGAATTAACTATTTGTCCATAGGTTGGACCCTAACAGGTGATACCTGGGAGCAACAGCAATTAAGAGGTGGTTCCACGCTCGTCAAATCTGAGGCCTTGCTGCCGGACGCAGTTTATAACACAGATGTCCTGAGCACAAGCAAAAGGTTCGAAAAAAATATACAAAGAACAAAAGACTCGGTAAATTTGGAATTCAAACGAAAGACGACGTCCGTAATTTGTAATAAAGGAAAATCTGTCTGATTGTAAATATGGCTGGCGCAAAGAGATTAGAGGAAAAAAATGCCGGGACTTCACCTGAGAATCTAAGCTGGCGGGAAACAGGTAATAATTATAATATTTGGTGTACTTCAAACCATCCAAAATTTACTAAAGGTGAGACTGAAAGAGTCTGAAAAAATATGTTGCCCAATAAAGTTAATGTTGGAAATAATTGTCTAACTTTCATCTACCGAACAGAGATAACTTTTCGAGCAGAGCACAGAAATTGTTTGCGCATTCAGTCATGAATTAAATCATAGATAGATAGATAGATAGATAGATAGATAGATAGATAGATAGATAGATAGATAGATAGATAGATAGATAGCAGAACGAGAAAAAATAAGATAGACGGCGAGAGAGACAGGAAGGGAGATAGATAGATAGATAGATAGATAGATAGATAGATAGATAGATAGAAGGGAAAGGAAGATGAAGAAAATATCTATCTTCCTTTCCCTTCTATCTATTAATCTCAGTGTCATTATCTATCTATCTATCTATCTATCTACCAGAAAGATCGAAGTCTGGATGGTAACATTGATGGATAGCTAGAGAAATAATTGGGAAGATAGATAGATAGATAGATAGATAGATAGATAGATAGATAGATATGAAGAAACTGAGATAGATAGATAGATAGATAGATAGATAGATAGATAGAAAGGAAAGGAAAGGAAGATGAAGAGTATATCAGTCTTCATTTCCCTTTATCTATCTATCTATCTATCTATCTATCTATCTATCTATCTATCTATCTATCAGAAAAACAAAAAGCGGGAAGGAAAGATTGATTAATAGCTAGAGAGAAAAGGGAAGAAAAGGGATAGATAGATAGATAGATAGATAGATAGATAGATAGATAGATAGCAGAACGAGAAAAAATAAGATAGACGCCGAGAGAGACAGGAAGGGGAGATAGATAGATAGATAGATAGATAGATAGATAGATAGATAGAGGGAAAGGAAGATGAAGAAAATCTCTATCTTCCTTTCCCTTCTATCTATCTCAGTGTCATTATCTATCTATCTATCTATCTATCTATCAGAAAGATCTGGATGGTAAGATTGATGGATAGCTAGAGAAATAATTGGGAAGATAGATAGATAGATAGATAGATAGATAGATAGATAGATAGATAGATAGAAAGGAAACGAAAGGAAGATGAAGATTATATCAGTCTTCATTTCCCTTTATCTATCTATCTATCTATCAGAAAAACAAAAAGCGGGAAGGAAAGATTGGTTGATAGCTAGAGAGAGAAAAAGAGAAGATAGATAGATAGATAGATAGATAGATAGATAGATAGATGAACGAATGATACGTGTATCTATTTATTAGATCATTTATTTACAAGAATAATATGGCAAAGTTTAACAAATGAACCTGTAAAAAGAGGACGTATGTCGTAATAACGGTATCAAGAGAAAAAATCGATATTACTACATGCGTCCTCTTTAATCTGAGGCCAGTTTGGAGCTTCAGTGAGCACCTCACTGACCAATTCCTTTGTCCCACACTATGTAATAGGTTAAAACTAAAGATGAACCTCGATAAAATTATCCCACATGTTGAGCCATTCATTTAAATTCATAATTTAATTGGTATGGACGGTGAGCCGCACCCAGCATTTAACATTTAATTCGGCAAATCTGATGGATTTTTACGGTCGTATTCCAAAAAGAAACAACGCAGTAAAACTGTAGTCACCATGGGAAAATCTTGCCCGTTTCAGGTGTGACTAATCGACAGACCTACAATAGACGAGGGACACCTCCCTAATCCCGACATTTAATCAGTAAAACGAGTTTTATCTATATGTACTGGCGTACTGTCTTGGGAGTATACATAGGTTGTAACAGCAAAATTGTCCAAATCGGGTAACAGCTTAATTGCTCATCCCACAAAATGTTTAATATCTAAAAAGCGCTAAAATTGAATTTTTTCCAGGTTTTCAGATAAGCCGTTTAGTCATCTTGACAGCATTTGTCGTAAGAATCACTGAAAAGCCGTTTAAGTTATGCAGCTAGAAAGAGAACAGGTTAAAATAGTTTTGTGTCCACCCCACTATGTCTTCCCAACCAAGCAATGGTGAGAGGAAAAAGATCATTCAGGCCTTCAGTAATGATACCAACATTCATACTCTGGCTTCCATGTTCAAGGTCCATTTAAGAAGCATCAAGAGAACGGTGAATAAGTTTAAAAAAGAGGGAACAGTAGAGAGGAAAATTGTATCAGGAAGTCACAACACCAAGAGGGATCATCATTTCAACTTAGACCTAAAGAGATCAATTAGAAAACTCAATCCATGAGACATGAAATGTATGAGGCACCTTGGTACTCCAGGACAGCAAATTAGAAGGTTAGAGAAGTCGAAGATCATCTTGAATAAGTTGAAAAATGATTCTGGAATAATTAATATATATATATATATATATATATATATATGAACTTTCATGAGATTCCGATCCTTAGCTATGATCAATTAATGATGAACATGGTACGTCATTTTCGTTTATGATCGATCTCATCATGATTCTTCTGTTAAGCTTTGACAGTAATTATACATTCTTATTACTCAAAGTTATAAAAAAAAACTCGGAGATTTCCAACAAGATATCTTTAATCATTTCTAACATAAAACGTTTCAAAGCTTAATCTAACAATTGGACAATTTTGCTGTTAAACCGAGTAAATGCAATGATAAGTAGCGCTACCATACCTCGTGGAAATACACTAACCTATAGCAGTTGATCTCGGATATTTGTTAAGCCAGTGTGAACATCGGCTAGTCTGACCATGACAAGGAGACGTGAATTATCGGAGTTCAAACGGGGTACCAGACGGATGTAGCATTTATCATCATCATTACCATGACCGGGTGGGCGTGGTTGTAAAATTTCTAGGTAGGTAAGCACCTGACCAGTTCCCTCTATACATCAGAGATGAATGCCGAAGGGCTATTCTTTCATGCTTAGCGTGTCTTGAGCAAATAGAGTTGGCGGAACACATTCCTCTCCAGAGTTTCGTATAACACCGTTCATCAGTGACATATGGTCCGATAAATCTATTGAATTATTACCTTATATCATATTTAATAGGAGTAAATTTGTTTTGCTTATCCTTTTTGAAAAAGGAAGAAAATCCTGAATCGGAACGAGGGCAACAATTGCACTGAGTTAAAGGGGGATAACTGAGACATCTGGAAGAGGCATGGCATGTGATTCTAGAACAATCTACCCCACTGAATGAAATAAAGGGTTCAGTTCGAAATTTCAATTATCTGTAAAAGGCTGGAGTGTACAATGGCCAAAACTTTGTGAATATGGCAATGAAGAGGACAACAATGTAAATTGCGTAAATGAAAAATATCTTTTTTTTTTAAAGTTATCTGTACTTTTTTGAAATTATGCTTCTCAGGTCATAGATAACTACATATTATTGACGTTGTCCTTTGTCCCCCAATTGAGGATATTCAACATTTTTTTTTTTTTTTTTTTTTTTGCACAAAAAATAATTCTTGTCCTTTTTTTTTCTTTTTTTTTGCTTGTTTTAAAAAATTTTGTAGATCCTATAAGAATGTATCCATTTGTTCTTGTATTTAAAATACATCTTTGTGAAAAAAAAAGTTCTAGGAGTAAATTTGTTTTGCTAATCTGTTTAAAAAAGGAAGGACATCCTTAATCGGAACGAGGGCAACAATTGCAACACAGGCTTAATAAAGTAGAAGCACATACCAAAATGAAAGACAAGTCTCAGAGTCCCAACTTCATCTTTGTAGGGTTTGTGTGATTTTACTATTAAATTTATTGTAATTAAAGAGCAAGTGTAATAGGAGTAGATAGGTTTGCCTATTGTCCTGTTCACGTTCTTCCCCCCTCTTTTAAACAGTAGAAGTTTATACCTTGTTTCCTGTTTAGGACTGGCTTTCCTGTTCCTTCATCTCTGTATTTCTGATGTCTCCACCTGAAATCTGAAATTTTATTCACTAATTCTGACGATTTTTTTTGTTTTCAAATAGGAGTAAATAGGTTTGCCTATCGTCTGGTTCACATACTTCCCCACATTTTTAAAAAGTTTATCCCTTGTTTCCTGTTTAGGACTGGTTTTGTTGTTCCTTCTAAAATCTAATTCAACTCTATACTTCTAACTACAGTTATTCACTAATTAAATCTTCAAGTCTAGTATTAGCTATATTTTATTCAGTAATTATTACTACTTTTTTCTTTCCCAATAGCAGTACATAGGTCGCCTATCGTCCTGTTCACACTCATCCCTGTGTTTTGAACAGGGTGAGAGGTTTATCCCTTGTTTCCTGTTTAAGATTGGATTTCCGGTTCCTTCTCTTTCACTCCCAGTAGCTCCTTGCGGCTTTTAAGCTAGTATTATATATTAAACATTCTAGGAATTTTTTAATCAATTCACTCCAAGCAAGGCGATAATGCCACTAAGATGCAAGGGACTGATGGTAGTAATGGTAGTCTACTCCCGTTCAAAAGACCGGGGAAGTGTGTGACCCGGATGATAGGAGAAACTGTTTACTCGGAAGGAAATATGAAAAATAAAAAAATATATAGTAAATAAAATTTTCAGAGTTTCGGCGAAGAGGTTAGAAATTTAGAGTTGAAATAGATTTTAGAAGGAACCGGAAACCCAGTCCTCAAAAAAGAAACAAGAGATAAAGGCGAACCTATCTACTCCTATTAAATTGTAGAGTATATAGTAAGATAAACTCGGTAAATACTATCAACAAATGTTTATATTTATTGTAACATAAATGTAATGATCATTTTCTTTATTTTATTTTAAATTATTTTATTTTATAAGTACACTACAGTTCAAAAGTTTGAGGCTACTCCTGGTAAGTTTTAAATTGGTCAAAAAAGTAGTTGTTTTGTATGAAAAAAATGTTATTCATGGTTAAAAAAAAAAGAAGACATGATTTTTATTAAAAATTTTATTATGATAAAAAAAAACATTTTATGATTAAATTTTCTTCTCGTCAAAATATCCTCCTTCAGCCTTGATGACTGCAGCACAAAATTCTTTGCAAAAGTTTCTCAAAGTATAAGCTTGATAATTGATTCCATTCTTTTTTCAATGACTCTAAGGGCTCTTTTTCTTTTTTCTTTTTTTTTTTTTTTTTTTTTCATTCTTCTGTGAAGTTCATCCCATGCTAATTCTGGAGGTAGCTTCAAATTTTTTAAATTTAGTGTACATATTGTGTATTTATATATATATATATATATATATATATATATATATATATATATATATTACTTAATTTTATTCAGTTTTATTCTAATTTTTGCAAGCTAATCGCAAAATCAAAATTTACATGTATTTAAGTTTACTGAAAGACCAAGAAGATCGTAAAGAAGTGACATTTAAATATTTAGAAACAGTGCGTCTTCATGTCGACTACGATGATGATGATGACGATGATGATGATGTTAACGATAATGATGAGGATGATGATGATTTTGGTGATTCTGGTATGGTTTGGTTTGGTTTGGTTTGTTTAACGGCATATCAACCTCAATGGATTATTTAATGCCGACAAAATTTTTACTGCTGGTAATATTTCTTTTTCTAAAATGTATTGGCGGTATTTATTTCAAAAATGTATTGGTGGTAATATTTTTTTCAAAAAATGTATTGCTGGTAATATTTTTTTCAAAAATGTATTGGTGGTAATATTTTTTTCAAAAAATGTATTGCTGGTAATATTTTTTTCAAAAATGTATTGGTGGTAATATTTTTTTCAAAAAATGTATTGCTGGTAATATTTTTTCCAAAAATGTATTGGTGGTAATATTTTTTCCAAAAATGCATTGCTGGTATTTTTTCCAGAAATGTATTGCTGGTAATATTTTTTTTTCAAAAAATGTACTGCTGGTAATATTTTTTCCAAAAATGTATTGCTGGTAATAATTTTCTTTCCAAAAAAGGTATTGCTGGTAATAATGCATTGCTGGTAATATTTTTTTACAAAATTGTATTGCTGGTACTAAAACCTATTTTTACACGTTTTGACCCCTTTGTGGGGGTTAACTATTTGCCCATAGCTGAAAACCTAACAGGTACTACCACACTGCGCTAGGGTGAACCTGGGAACATCAGCAGTTAAGAGGTGGTTCCACGCCTCCTCAAAACCTCCTGATAAGAGGCCTTGCTGCTGCATGTAGTTTATCGTCTTACCCTGGACGGGTGATTCTGGTGACAAAGGTAATGACCGTAACGGTTATCAACCGTTAAAAGTTAGCATCACCGTGTTTAAAACTTTGTAAATGCCTCCAATCGCCTATAAATATTTTACCATCGAGTCAT